AGTGGCAGGACAAGTGCCTTTCCCATTGGTGGTGAGGCAAGGAGCACGGTGTTCTGTGAAGATATGTGACCAATATCTATTGAAATCCATCACGATGATGATACCTTTGCAATGTTGGTTGATGTTGCAGAGCAAGTGGAAGCAACAGAAGATAACATCGGCTTCAGGCATAGCACGTCGCACTCCCGCCAGGATAGCCTTCCCCCGGTCGGAGATAATAGTCAAAGGCCCCGAGTCGCGAGACAACCATTCGTTCAATCCCGTGGCCTTCAGCTGGTCCCACATGAACGCAGTATTTTCTTCTGTCTCGTCACCAACCACGGAGCCTTCTTCTTTCCACGAAGCAAACACACCTGTTAGCTGTGTTGGTGAAGGAAGGCAAGATGGGAAGAAGTATCAGAAGATACCTACTGCGAGAGGGATGATGGTATTAGTTCCCAACCTTGCTTCAATCACCATGATTTTGCCAGAATACCACCTATGTAGAATCATCACACCACAACATACACGGGAAACAAGAAGATTGAAGGGGGGAACCTGTGTGTGATGTGACAGAAGTCCTGTCCTAGAAAGCGCAGACCAATAGTCTTCACCAAATGGATCATGGTTCCATTCGCAAGGAATGCTCCACGAAACGAATTGCCCCTGCTGGAAGGCATGGGTGACATGACAACTCCGCGACTTCCCTTGTTCAAGGAGGTATATTCCTCCATCCAGTTCTCCAGAAGGAGATAGGATTCTCGATATTCGTCCCAAGATCCACTTTCAACCTGTGATCGAGCTTTGAATATAGTTGCAAGACTAGCATCTACACCCAATTCAGACTTGATCGCAACTTGCAACTCCTTAGCGGTCATACGGGTTTGATGCAAACCACCGCCATCTCCAATCGAAGTGGATAGCAAGGAACGAAAGTATTCGTTGTTCACCAAGAATCGTATAGTACCCGTTCCCACTGAAGTACACATGGGTTTGCAATGTCGAGTAATGCTATTCTCGACATCTATATACCAGTAACTCTTATATCTCTGAGCAAGGCTCACAGATTTTTTGGCTACCAACCGGTACCTGTCCACCCACATTTACAGGAGATACGTGTTCTCACCGAAAGGTTACCTGCATCCTTCACACGTACACAGGATCAGATATGATTTAAATCCTGAGGGAGCTCGTTGAACACGAACACCCTTGTTCCCATTAAGAAAGTTGATTTCTTGTACATAAGACGTACACTGTTTACGTTTGAGGAAATGTTTGCCTTGAAGCTTGGAAGCATGACATACGGCGGGGACAATGGCGGATGGAGTTGCGTATAGCATTGCGTCGACAGGGGACTGAAGGGGCGGGGCAGGGGCTGGTGATATGGAATGCATCGCAGAAGAACCATACTTGTTCCCGGACTGCACAGGACGAAGAGAGCCTTGCTGAAAATCATCGTCTGACATATCCTCTGTATCAAGAGAACTGCCTATGTCATTACAATCAGGTGGGCCAGCCTTACTATCAAAAGGCATATGCTGTGATGTATCATCATCACCTACTTGAAGACCTGCCAGTACTGTTGTGTGACTAACATTGACCGTGGCGGGAGAAGTAGGCATAGATTGGTCTGCCAGTTCATGATAAAGACGACTAGCCGCTTCCACGAGGTTCCCGTCAAGCCTCCATCCCACGAGTTGATGTCCCTTCGAGATAACTTGACCTATACGAAGGTTGGAGGAAAGCCCCAGCTGAGAACGTATGGTTTCAACATGGTGCATGAACGATGTGGGATGCAGAGCTGCCATGGCGCGGCGTCCGCGGCGTGCTGGAATGGCCAGATTTGTTGGCGGGAAAGTAGTACCAAGTTGGAGAGTTTGTACGGGGTCGTACTACGGTACCTTAGCAATAATTGTTTGTAAAGGGCAAATGTAACTTAAATTAGTACCGAGTTTGCTATTTTCATACTGTTTAAAATAATCCAAGAAGCGTTACTATCCAAACAATTTGTACTATTTATCCAATTGTCCTATATCCATGATTTTGGACGCGTTTCTGTCGAATACCCCCGGAGACAACCTACCTCTGAGAGGGAAAGCACTACCCCCTCTAGGCTACGAGTACCACCCCTGTATCATCTTTTCATAGAGAGCTGCCGCAAGCACCGGTACCTGATGCTAGTGGTAGTGTATGAAAAACTTCGATACAACCGTTGTATTATGCGGAGACTACCTACCTCTGAGAGGGAAAGCACCGTAGTACCCCCTCTAGGCTACGAGTACCACCCCTGTATCATCTTTTCATAGAGAGCTGCCGCAAGCACCGGTACCTGATGCTAGTGGTGGTGTGTGAAAAACTTCGATACAACCGTTATATAATGCGGAGACTACCTACCTCTGAGAGGGAAAGCACTACCCCCTCTAGGCTGCGAGTACCACCCCTGTATCATCTTTTCATAGAGAGCTGCCGCAAGCACCGGTACCTGATGCTAGCAACTTGGCAACACAAGATGTGCACACTGTGACATAGTAGACACACTGGCAGGGCCATGGCACTTTCGAATGCTGGTCCGATCATCTCTCTTCGTCTATGGCATGATGAGCATGTTTTCAGTTCTTCGCCGCTGGAAGCCTCGGTGGGGCACAACATAGCTTTGCCCGCCAAAAAATTGATTTGAATTTTCTCGTGACATTCCGGCTGCCATGGCATGCAGCCCCCCCTAAATTCCCCGCCATAGCGCCCCGAACGCACTCAGTGCTGCATGGAGGCACGATGCCATGATGCCAATGATGATGCTGAGGCGGGGGGGTATTGCTCGTGGAGGCCCTTCCTTAAGCAGCTCAACGTCTACCTTGCTCGCTTCAAGGACTGGAAAGTCCCGGACGAGTACAAGCTCACCGAGCGCATCAATCGCCCTCTACCGCGCGGAGTCACACATCAGCCCTGACGCCCAGGAGAGCAGATCGAGGCTCGCAGAGCTACCGTCCTCGACGAATGCGTCCGGGCTGTCTTCGCTGCCCGGCCGGATAACCAACGAGCAGCTGGCACACGAGCTGCTGCTGTGCATTGATGTATTCTCGTTGACTACTTGCATGTTATTCTGACCTGCTGCAATCCTGTCTGCGTACTCTCTGAAATGAATCATTTCAGCCTATATTTTAGCCAGTGATTCCTCATTCGCGCGACCAGACGGCCCTCGCGACGTTGGATACTACAGCAGGCTGTTGACTGCTACCGAGCGCAATCATGACACGACGGACAGGGAACTCGTTGCTATCAAGGATACGCTTCTTTGTTTTCGTTTATATGCAAAAAAATCCCGAAGAGGCTGCGTCGGCTTCTCAAAGGGGAGGAACCGGCTCATTCACTGGCAGAAAGCAATACATCACGTTGATAACGACATGTAGATCGTAGACTACGCTTCACCGTATTCAACGATGTCTCCATTACTCAGCACGCACTTGCATTTCCCTTCCCCATCGACCAGCAGGACATCCAGGTTTTTCACGAACTTGCATTCTTGAAGTTTTGAGATCACGATCGCAAGCGCTTCTGCAAGCGGCGGTTCCCCTCCAACCACATACCCTGTGTAAATCTTACCCGATACGTGCGGTCTGTGTAAAGGTTTTGAGATCTCGTGCATGAGGTTTTTAAGTTCTTTCTGAACAAAGTCTTCCTTCGCTGCGAAGCCAAAGTTTCGCAGCTTATTACAGACTTCTCTGCCATACATACTCAATGTCGTTTTGTCACGGCCTACAGTCAACAAATGCTCGTTCACAAACATCTCCAAACCTTTCGAGAGAGACAAGTCGCTCTTGTACTGTTGCATGGCGTTCTCAATCAGAGCTCGGTTGTTGGCTATGACCTTGACCCGCGATAATTCTTGGAGACTTTGCATCTCCTGTTGCAGCAATTGGCTCTTGAGATCTTTCAGCTGTGTTTCCTTTTCTGCAATGCGTATATCCTTTTCTTGAATGAATTTATCCTTTTCTGCAATGAGTTTATCCTTTTCTGCAATGAGTTTATCCTCGCGAGTCTTGAGATCTTTCAGCTGTGTTTCCTTTTCTGCAATGAGTTTATCCTTCAGGGCAATGACTTCATCCTTGTGGGCAATTATGCTTGACTGCCACGGCCACCAGCTTGCTGATCCTGTTGGGGACATGCTGAGGGGTCTTGACAGCGTGATCTGCCGTGACCTGTCCCAACCAACACTGTAGACCAGCTGCTTATCTCCTCCTAGTCTTCCTCTTCTTTTCTGCATGCTGAAACTCATTCCTCTCCCCAACATTTTCAACATATTCGAATGTTCTGCCAGAATATAGAAAGAATAGCACGGATTCTATATGGAGCCCTTTCTTTTACTTAAAGTTGAGTAAACTTTCTTAGTTAAGTAACGTTCACAATGCAGGAAGCACAATGAAGAGCATCGACGCCGCCCTAGAGCAAGGATGATGGTGTTCTACATCCGATCACGTCTTAGGATCATTCTAGGCATAGTTGTGCATTACTTCTACACATCTTTCAATCATGATAAGGATAGAAAACCTTTCATGTTAGAGAAGAACATGGTCTGAAAAATAGTTGCGCATTACTTCTACACATCTTTCAATCATGATAAGGATAGAAAACCTTTCATGTTAGAGAAGAACATGGTCTGAAGAATCATACTTGTCTTGTTGAGATTCCCAAGTTGTCATTATCATGATGTCGTCCATCCCCAACTGTCTGCAATATGCAAGTCCCTTGAGCAACCATATCACGCTTGTTTCCTTTGTACACTGCACGATCATCCACACCCTAATCACAAAAGCATCCTCAAGCTCCCCTTACCCCGCACTTGTCCCATGATCCCATCCCCATGAACATTATAGAAGTGACAAGGTGTAATCGTTGTTGCATGCAGGATAGCATCCAACTTCCCAATGTGTCTGTACCTGATCCTCTCAAACCTGCGCATACTCCTTCACCCCCATCCCCAGTTATCTGGTATTGCACTTGCATGTTTGTAGACATCTCCGACAGGTACTATGCTCTTCTGTATTGCACATTAATGTATTACACTAGTAACTACACCAAAACATCTCTACATCCTTCGCCCTCGCCCGCTCTTCCTAAGCAGAAGTAAATTCCTGTGATATGTCAAGCGAGGGAAGATCCCCCTCCCACCCCAAACAAAATCATACTCACCCAGTGCTAGCAGAGGACATACTTCAGGTGAACACACGTTGCTGTAGACATATTTTGGATCCCGCGGTTTCTCACCAGCCTGATCATTTTTTGCGTAAATTACGTAGAAGCGCAAGGCATCCCCGACGAATTCCATGTGATTGTACAACAGTGTGCATACGTTTCTGGATCTGGACATCAAATTCCAAGCCAGAATCAAAAAAGGTCCTGGCCCAAACATATTCTCTTTCTGGTTTCTGTAGCATAACCTTGGCGAACACTGAGTACAAATCGTATGACAATGGTACATTGCCGGTTGTCACTTTTGCATCTTGATTGCAAGATTGAGAAAGATTCAACGTTCGCTTCAATCCTCTGAAGTCACTGCTCAATGTTTTCACCGCCTCGATGCTTCAATCCTCTGAAGTCACTGCTCAATGTTTTCACCGCCTCGATGCTCAGTGTAACCCCGTAATTCTTGAGCATGTGCATCTTGTACGACGAGCATGTTTGGAATGTTAGTTCTGGATTTTGTTGAACTTTATGGGTCACCCAGTCAAGAAACATCACTGGCGTGAATTTTTCAAAGTGGATGGGATTAATTTGCTTCTGTAACATTATACTCTCTTCATGTAAGTTGTAGTTGGTAAACTCTCGTCCGTCGTCGCCGGCTCTGTCACCTGATCTGATCCGTTCAAGAATTTGTCATGTTCTTCACGCATGTTCGTTTTGAATTCATCAGTTATGAGAGCATAATACTCGTCATTCGCGTACAACCATTCTATGAAGCGTATCATGTAGTTCATATACATCTCTCTGAGAAGATACATTGTTCTGCTGAATGCGTGTACGTCTTTCCTCGAATTCTCTCCGCTGTTGCACACATAACACAGCAGCTGTGGATTGAGGACGCTTGCGACCTCGCCGTGCCCTAGGCTGCACCGGCGATTGATCCAATGGGGCTTGGGGGGTATTACGTCCTTCAGCGGCACCAAGCTTTTAACTACGGAAGCATAGGTCTGTCTGGCGCAGAGGGAAGTGTCTTACGCAGTGCTGAAGTGGAAGTGACGGCGGAAGAGGATCGGGGGGGACTCCGGGGATGAGGAGGAGGTAATGGAAGAGGTTCATGACAGTGATTCAACGGGGCCAGAGGTAGGAGGGGAACAGGCTATTCCAGCTTTTGCTGTGGAAGGAGACGAAAACGTCTTGCAACCTGACCTTCTATCTTAGGGTTTAGGGTTTTGTAAGAGGGCTATTGTCCCCGGTTTCATCTTGCTTTCAATCATTTCCCAACTGATGGTGGTCTGCATTTTTTCCGCTATCCAGATTGCGAGTCTTTCCGGTCCTCTCATCTCTTCGTTCTCTTTGAGTCTGCCCGATCTGATTTCTCGTTGTAACTGGTTTATTGTTTGACACCCCCATTGGTTGCACCATGATGTTAGTTTGTGGATCAGACTGCTTTTGATATCATCATCCACCCTGCATTTCTTATTCGTTTCTTTCTCTAGATACCGAATCGCCGCCCTTCCCAAGATGGGTGCTGGATGGGGGAGTTGGAGGCCTCCTCTGTCCCAAGGTAGGTGAAAGATAGCGTTGCTTGTACTCTTGCTCAATCCCATAGCTCTTTTGAATGCTCTGGTCCAGAGGGTATCTAAGGTTTGTAAGTCTGACCAAGACCAGCTCACCAGTACCGCCGAGTATCTAAAGATATTGACGATGCCTACCTTCACCAGGTAATATTTTTGGGCTGCAGAGTAAGCAGATGATTCAATCAGCTTTGTCAGTTCTTTTGTCTTCTCCAAGATGTGTTCTTTCTCTCCCCACGTGAAGGGGCAGGTGTGCGCCTTGTTGCCTCTTCCTCCTGGTCTCCACAAGCTGATCCGGATCCCTAGATATTTGAACCATTTTGTCGGTGGTAGGTTCACAAACTCCTTGTCAAAGAACTTGATGTTTTGTGTTCCTTGGATCTCCCTCTTTAGCCGATAATCAAAGCTGGTGATTTCAGATTTCTTCGTGTTCAGTTCTAATCCACTCCATCGACAGAATCGTTCTACCACTTGAACAAGCGTTTTCATCTCTCTCACTGAATGTGCTATCAGGACAAGGTCGTCTGCAAATGACAGATTATTAGGGTGTTGAGTTGCTTTCTCGTCTTGTTGTTGATCAAGTTGTCTGGACAAGATGCTGAGCAGAAGATTTGTTTTTGGTGGACTCGCGGGGCTGCCTTGAGGTAATCCCCGGAGGAGCGGGATTGCTGCTGTATCAAACCTCTCAGTCTGGATTTGCAGAGCTATGCCTTGACTGCAGCTGACTGCGACGTCGACATCGCGCTGGTGGAATCCATATACCTCCATGATTTTTGCGATGGATTCAACCGCGACGTTATTGAAGAAGTTGGCAAAGTCGAGGTATAACAGTATAATGTTGTTTTGACTGCTCTGGGCCTCCTCGATGATGTTAAGTAGTCTATGACCTTGACGGATCGTCCCGCCCTCGGGTCGGAAACCCTCTTGGTTATCTGTTAACAGCTTGTGCCTCTCAGCTGCTTTTGCCAGTCTGTGTGCTATCACCGCTTGGAAGATTCGCGTCACCGACGAGAGGATACATATAGGACGCATATTTTCCAGAACATGACAGAGCTCGTTTTTTGGAAGGAGTCTGACTCGTGCTAGCATGTTCAACAACGTTTTGTCTCCTGTCAACGCTCTACTGATCACTTTTCCTATCTCCTCCTTTGCGCTGTCAGGTAAAGCTTTCAGGATCTCGTTTGAGATCAAATCCATGCCTGCTGCCTTGCGATTTGATACTTTTTGAATCCAAATCTAAATTTCTCCTGGCTCCAGGGGAAAAGCAATTTCTATTTCCCTGGTCGGGTGTTGATCAATGTTCGCGGGAGAGTTGAATTCCGGTGGCTCAAAATTACCCGGGTGCAAGCCTTCGTATTCGTTTCCTCTCTCCCTTGGTCCGGTCTGGCTAGTTTCTTGTGTGGCTGAAGTTCATGTGGGCTAGCCTCCCTTTTTCCTTTCCTTCTCTTGTTTGGGGGCTTCCCCTCCTCCCTGGCTGGCCTTCTTCTCTTCCCTGTTCCTGCCTGCTCAAGTCCGAGTTTTGCCCAGATGACATTCGCCGCTTGTAGATATTGTGCGAGGATTTCTTCTGCTTGTTCCCTTTGCTTTGGGAATGGCCAGAGTCGGATGGGCAGGTGCAGGGAGATGCCCTCGGTATCTGGGACGGGTAAAATACTTGTCATGGAGTGGAAGCCTACTTGGGGCAGTAGTCTCCATGCCTTTGCAAAACTCTCCCAGCCTTGCCGAGCAGGAGATGTAGGTAGGGAGTTTTCTCCGGACGGCAGGTAGCCAGACAACAGACAATGGTGGCAAGGATTCGAGCGGGAGACCTCACCTTGACAGAGAAATTCATGCTCGAAATGCATGTGTGAAGAGATTTACTAGGGAGAGCGTTCAGATTATGCGAAGGGTCAGTTACGCGAACAGCTATCCAAGCGATCACCTTCTCAGCACCGACGAGGAAGAAGCTCTTTCAATGGGGGAAGACTAACTCACCATGTTGTCCTCACTGTCCAGACCGAGAAGAAACCTGGGGACTGTTAGGAAAACTTCCTAAAAGTATCTCTCGATCCAGTGTTGACACACGAAGTGATCCCGTCAAGAAACCAAAGAACAAGCGCGCGACAGCAATGCACAATTCAACGGCAATTTACTCCAAATCAACGTTAGAGATAAAGAAAAGTAAGTAATCTAATTTCCTAAGAAACGAGACTGCCTAGGACACCTACTTAAGAAAGACAGGAAGTCAGTAAACATATCCTATCATTTCGCTCCCTAGCGCTGATAGATGAGAACACACTTCTCAGCTCCAACTTCGCTGCAAACACCAAGAATCATTTAGCATTCACAAGATTGAAATCACGAATCATTTTCCTCAACTCTGGAGTGCGAAATTCACGCGTAGACAACCAAGAATCATCCGACGACTTGTCATATCCTTTCCAACGAACCAGGTACTGCACACGATTACCTTTCCCACGACGAGCCAAAATACGATCGACTTCAAAATACTGTCCATCGCGTTGAACCAAAGGCAACGGTGGTGGTTCAATTTCATCCAGAGAAACATCTCGAAAATAGTAAGGACGAAGTTTCGCCACGTTGAAAACTGTTTTCTTCATGTGTTGAAAACGCGGTGTGAACTCCAAGCGCACAGAGTTATCCGAAACTTTCTCTTGTATCTTGAAAGGTCCAATGAAATCGGAATTTTCATCTTGCCCATGGACTCATGCAACTTCAAATCGCGCGTCGACAACATAACGAAGTCGCCAACATTGAATTGCAGATCCTTCCGAGATCGCTTCATAGTCTTCTCCTTCTGAATCGCTGACAACGTTAACGCATCGCGAGCCAAGTCGACGGCTGCCATGATCTTGTCACGTACTTCCTCCACGTCCTCAGCACGATCGTCAGGAGTCAAGTCCAAAACTGTACGAACGTCTCTGCCATAGATGATCTCAAACGGCGTAAGATTCGTCGCATCTCTAACGGTCGTATTCCAAATTGTCTCCAGATGTACGAGATAATCATCCCAAGACTTGCTATCGTGCCGCATGCAGTAGATCCGCAAGGCTTCAACTATGACACTGTTGAACTTCTCAACTCGTCCCTGCGACTGCGGATGATAAACGCTGCTATGGCGTATGTCGATTCCCATTAGAGTGAACAACTCAGTCCAAAATTCTGAAGAAAATAAACTCCCGTTGTCCGAGACCAACGTTTTGCAAATCCCTTGAGCACGATAAACCGTCTCGAAATACGCACGAGCTGCTCCTTTCGATGTGATCGTCTTCTTACACGGATACAAGAACACCCTGTTGGAAAACTGATCGAGGAACACCAAGACACTGTCGTTTCCCCGCTTCGAGGTGGGCAGCGCTGTGAGCAAATCCACTGAAACCTTCTCGAAACGCTCACGCGGAACCAAATGACTGTGCGGTTCGCCAGCCGCTCGTTGCTTGTAACTCTTGCCTTGCAAACACTCCGCACACGAGTTGACATAGTTCGCGACCGTACGTCCTTACTCATGGTCGGCCAGAAGGCAATTTGCGACGCCTTCAAGAAAGTCTTCGTCTTCCCTACATGGCAAGAATCGTCATGAATCAGGCGCAAGAACTTCGCTCGAGAATGATAAGGAATACACACACGTTCCCGACCAAGCGAGTCCTTCCAAAACAAGACTCCGTCTCGCAGAAAATAAGTTCGACGCTGCATTGGGACTAGGTTTCCCTGTTGAATGTCCTGGAGAACCTGCGCGAAATATCTGTCCTGCTGATAATTTTTGACGACATCAGCTGTAAATGCGTTGTCTGTTGCTAGAGCGTAGCAGTGCGTAACAACCTCTGCATCACTGTCAGTCACCTCCATCACCTCCCCCTCCCCAGAGGACGAGATGGTACAAAGCAAGGTAGGATCCAAGTTGACCAAATCAGCACGCTGTCGAATCTCATCGTCTAACGCACTCTGTGACGGCACAACCGTAGAATCGTTCGGACGAGATAGGTAGTCAGCGATGACATTCTCTTCTCCAGGGATGTAGGAGATTTCATCCAAATCGAAATCAGCAAGAATTTGACTCCATCGAAACAATCGACCCGTGAGGTTGCTCTGCGTGAGAAGATACTTGAGACTCTTGTGATCTGTACGAACCAACACCCTGCGTCCGTACAAGTAAAACTTGAAATGAACCAATGCTGAAATCAATCCCAGAAGCTCTTTCTCGCGCACAGAATAATTTACCTCGGCACTGTTGAGACGCTTGCTGAAGAAGGCGACAGGCAACAGATCTTCGCCATGCTGTTGTGTCAAGACAGCACCAATGGCGTAGTCGCTCGCATCGACCAACACGCAAGTAGCTAACGCTGGGTTGAAGTACCTTAAAACAGGGGCTGATATCAAACGCTTCTTCAGCTCCTGAAAGGCCGCTTCTTGCGCGTCATCCCAACAAAACTTCACATTCTTGCGTAGGAGATTCGTTAGCGGAAGTGCTAACGCTGCGTAATCCGGCACATACTTCCTGTAAAAGTTCAACACTCCCAAAAACGACTTGAGTTCCTTCACTGTTTGAGGTGCCGTACGATCCACAATCGCTTGTACCTTTTTCTCTTGTGTCGAGACGCCTGCCTCGCTGATGTGGAAACCGAGGAAATCAATTTCAGAGTGAAACAGCTTACATTTCGACTTCTTGACAAACAACTGCTCTTTACGAAATCGATCCAGAGCCTGTCGAAGCAAACGCTCATGTCTCTCCAAGCTCCCATAACTGATCAAGCAAACATCGTCGATATAGCTCAGGCAATTCTCGAGACCTTGAAGAACACTCTCGAGAAATTTCTGAAATTGATTTGCCGAATCTACCAAGCCGAAAGGAATCCTCCGATACTGATATTTCCCAAACTTCGTGATGAAACAGGTGTACTTCCTCGACGCGGCGTCCAACTCAAGTTGCCAAAAACTTTTCGCCAGGTCGAGTGAGCTGATCCACAACCGTGCCCCAGGTTCTGAAGCATAACGCGCTCTCTCTTCCATGATCTTTCGACCCACTCGTTCTATCAGCTCCATCACCAACGGCAATGGAAAGTTATCATTCCGGATCAAGCTGTTAACGAACCTCATATCAGTGCAAAAACGCAATGTACCATCAGACTTTTTTGTGAAGATTACGGGAGACGTAAACTCAGACGTCGAAGGTTCAATGATCCCACGCTCCAACAAGAAGGCAAGATTCGCTTTCAACTCCTCCTCCAACGCGAGTGGCACAGGGTAAGGTTTCTTTTGCACCGCCTCAACGTTATCCTTGAGTCGAATCGTCGCCTTGAAGGACCGGTCAAGAACAACGTCACTGGGAATGTCGTCACGAATGACATCCGAATAATCTTCCATGATCGTCTCGGCAGCCTTCTGCTCGAGACTCGTGGCACCATCTGTCGGCTGAGCCATCTCCAACAGGTTGCACAAATGTACCACGTACCATTCCGAATCGTTCTGCTTGAGGTCTCTCACTGCCTCAGTGTAAGAAAGTACCTGACACAGCGAGACGTCCGCAGCCCCGAATTGCTTGTTCGTCGGGCAAATAAGTAACGGAAGCTCGACCATCTTGCTGCGCCACTTGGCAAAGACTCTGGGATGACCCGCATCAATCACGATCTTGTTCGTACGCATCCATTCCCATGAGAGGATCATGTCCGCATGCGGCAAGTCAAGCATGTAGAACGACCCACTACTCTTGAAACTGGAGCCTACGCCCAATTTTGTCTGGAAAACCATATCAGACAATCTACTCGTCCCGTCGGCCATAATAACTCGTTTACGAACTTCTGCATCCGTGACCGACAGACCAAATTTGCGCACTGCCTTCGTGCTGATAAACGACTCTTCAGCAGCTGTATCGAGCAATGCATTAAGAACTATGGATTGATTCCCGAACCGAAAGGTCACAGGTACCATAGGTAGAGCTTTGATCCTGTGAGAGTCAACGGTGATACGACATTGACGAACATCCCTAGGATCTTCTGGCGGAGGTGTGCCCGGGTCGAAGACAACATTCGAAGTCTGCAAACCCGTGCCCCCGTCGATTGCGCCCTCCGCGGCAACCGACGTCACTGGTTTAAAGCTGACGGTTGTTCAGACCTCGACAAGAGAGGGCACTTGTCTCTAAAGTGACCGAACTTCTGACAGTTGTAGCACTTCACCTTCTTCTTGTCGAACTTCTTCTCCTTGCCCTGCATGTCCTCGCTCTGAGTGGGAGCCGACCGCTTGCCCTCATGACGAGGTTGTGCTTGGGTGAAATGAAGACTCGTCTGACCGTCTTGTGGGTGTCTCTGACGCAGATTAAGAGCTTCGCGATACAACTGCGGCAAATACTTGCCCATCTCCGACGGCTCCGCATGATAAGTAATCCCAAACGTCTTACCATCGCGTTCCATCAGCATGCTCAATTCCTTCCGTAGCATGGCACGCGCATAGTCCATTTGAATCCCATCGACAAAGGCGCGTTCCCAGCTACCTAGCGCAACACTAGGTCTCTTGGACACAAGGTAGCACGCCTGCAGGTGTGTAACCATCGCCTGGAATCTTGCGGTGTACACCTCGACGGACTCCTTGGGCCCTTGCCTAGCCTGCTTCTGCACATGACGCTCAAGTTTCTCAATAAACTCGAACGGTAACCATTTCAACAACAGTTTCTCCACAAACTGTTCCCAATCACCATGCTCAGCTGAGAACTGATCTTGCTCAGCCATCGGGAGTGTAGCCCACCATAGCTGCACCTCCGGCCCGAACGCAGAGATGGCCGCTCCTACCCATCGATGGCGTGCTATACGGTGAAATTTACACCTGCCTTCGATATATCCGAGCCATGAGACCACCGACCTCTCCATGGTCTGCTCACCATTGTACTGCAACAATGCCAGACTTCGGATCCAGCTTGCAAATCTGACCACCGTCATTCTCCGCATGCTTAAGCTTGTGAGGCTTGTCCTCGGATTCCCGAACCCGCTCACAAAGCAGTACACGCATCTCCGCTGCCTCCTTGGCAAGCCTACGGTTCTCTCGCTGGGATTCCTCAAGTGCCCTCACAAGATCCTGGAGTTTGCGATCAGCTTCTCTCTGGGATTCTGCGAGTGCATTTACGAGATTGTGCATCTTATCCATGTTGTTCTGTTCCACAGACCTGAGCTCTCTACATGTCCGGCGTAGGTGCTCATTTTCTTCCACGATGTCACGAAAACTGGCTTTCAAGGGAAGGGCGGGACCATCTCTTTCGTTTTCATCCCTACTCTCCAACCATGAAGGCACTGTACGACCACTGTCAACACTATCGTCACGTACAACAGCCTCCTGCTGGATGACAGTTTCCGACGGATCGTACGCATGTGACTGCGGCGACATGCCTGTCACCGTAGGAAAGCGCGGCTCTGCTGACCCATTCAATGTCTCCTTCACAAAGCTGCCCAACCATTCTGGGGTCAAACCGTGGTAGTCGAACTTAACGCAAAAGAGGAATGGGTAATTCGAGTTATAGGAGACCGGTGGATGGGTACCCCTTGTTTTGATGGTGGTAGTTTTTACTAATATCAGAGGTAGGGGTAATGGCGGATTTCATTGTGACCGGCCCAAATTCTGTTTAAAACTACAATTTTTATCAGTCTTGTTTTTCCATCGTGTTTTGTACCAATCTTGTAGGAGGTTTGAATTTTTGTACCAGGAGCACTAGATAGACCGGGTCCATGCACAGTTGTTTTCTGGAACCAGGCTCCTGGGTCCAGATCGTACCCTACCTGGTCAGGCTTTTCTGGTTTGAATTTTTGTACCAGTGGGTCTACATACACCGGGTCATTTGCGCCAATATATTCGATTGAGGGTAGGGTACTGAAAGGTACCTTGTACCCCTCCTGATAGGTCAGAGGGGGTAGTGGATGGTTTGAATTTTTGTACCAGGAGCACTAGATAGACCGGGTCCTTCTAGAGTATTATGACCCCACGGGTGCTAGGCTCAATCCGAGGTACCCTACCCCTATGCACGCTCAGATCGTACCCTACCTGGTCAGGCTTTTCTGGTTTGAATTTTTGTACCAGTGGGTCTACATACACCGGGTCATTTGGGCCAATATATTCGATTGAGGGTAGGGTACTGAAAGGTACCTTGTACCCCTCCTGATGGGTCAGAGGGGGTAGTGGATGGTTTGAATTTTTGTACCAGGAGCACTAGATAGACCGGGTCCTTCTAGAGTATTATGACCCCACGGGTGCTAGGCTCAATCCGAGGTACCCTACCCCTATGCACGCTCAGATCGTACCCTACCTGGTCAGGCTTTTCTGGTTTGAATTTTTGTACCAGTGGGTCTACATACACCGGGTCATTTGCGCCAATATATTCGATTGAGGGTAGGGTACTGAAAGGTACCTTGTACCCCTCCTGATAGGTCAGAGGGGGTAGTGGATGGTTTGAATTTTTGTACCAGGAGCACTAGATAGACCGGGTCCTTCTAGAGTATTATGACCCCACGGGTGCTAGGCTCAATCCGAGGTACCCTACCCCTATGCACGCTCAGATCGTACCCTACCTGGTCAGGCTTTTCTGGTTTGAATTTTTGTACCAGTGGGTCTACATGCACCAGGTACTTCGTCCACAAATTGAAGGGTAGGGTACATTCAACAATACCCACCCATGGAAGGTCCTGGCTGGTACCCCTTCAAATCCCCCCCGTTCCAATCTATAAAAGCTGGGATGAAAGTTGTGTTTCTCGCCGGGGTGCCACATTCACGCCTTGTTCCACACTCTCACGAAATCTTGAAGCAATGTTTCAATTGGACTGTGGTCTTTTCAAGAGAAATTCTACATCTTTGCATCAAGGACCACCAACGAAGAAGAGAAGAACAAAACAGAAAATTGAAATCAGTGATCCATCTTTGCAAATCTTGGAAGAATTTGCCAAAGAGGCAGACTTTGTCTACTCCAAGCGCAGTAAATGGCAAGGTGATGGCGATCTGCATTCGTTCTTGAATGGTTTTGGTTCAAGTGCCTCTGCCAAGTTTCCTGCACACATTCCTGCGCGTACATTCAGTGAACTGTGGGAAGAATTCAAGACAGAGCATGAATTTCCACCGGAATTCCAACCATCCTCTTTCACAGATTTTGAAGAAGAGAATATCCAGCAACTGTTCTTGGAGAAGGCTAAAGGGCAAACAATACCTTTCCTGGACATGGCTCTGCGGAATTGGTTGAAAGGGATCGGGAAACCCGGACGCTCACACGAGGAACAATGGAAGAATTTTGCATACGTGTTCGATTCGCTTTCCAATAAGAAAAACAAGAACAACAAATTTACTTTGGAGAAATTTTTGTCGGGGTTTGTTTCTAACAGGAATTGTAAGCGTCAGCTTGCAAAAGAGCTTCGCAAAAACCTAAAACTTCAAAAGAAGCTAAAGTACATTGCCCGAAGCTATATGCCGGATGTCAACGAGTCATGCGCGTTACTGCTGAAGGCGAATATGACCAAGGGCGCGTACAATATATTCTGGGGTGATGATGGCCGAATGCATCGTCTCGCGGTTCCATTCAAGAAAATAGGAAAATGCCGTGTGATGAAGAAGCTTTTCTTGAAGCAAGCTTTGAAAGTTTTTCGAACCGAACAAGGATGTCACGGAACAGACCTTTCCGATTCTGTGAAATTGAAGATAGTGCAGAAGCATTTGCAACACAAAAAGAAGTTGCTGTTGATTTTCAACACAGACGCAACGGTTTTGGGGAAGTCACTTGGATCGGACACAAAACACACTGAAGTATCTATCACAGTCCTCGCACCTCGATCCGAATGCGATGACAGCGAAGAATGGAATGAAATCGAAGCTTGTGTCAGGCGGGCCCTCGATGCTGGGACCTTGATGATATTACCTGTGGGTGACAACGCCAAGAATATGGACTTCAATTTTTGGAAACCGTACGAGAACCCTATCATTTCGATTCTGAAGAATGGCATCACGATCGGAGACAACAATATCGAGATTCAAGTATTTTTCAGAGCAGACTTAGCAGGACACTATGGATTGCTCGATCATGGTGGAGTTCACGATCGCAGCGGGAAGTTTTGTCTTCACTGTGAAGAGACAGCGCAAGCCAAGAAGGCAGGCAAATTCATTTTCCTTTCCGAGATCCAGCAGCAGGATTCTATCTCTTTGCGCGAATTCTGCAAACGTCATCGCCTTTTCCCCTCCGACATTGAAATGTTGCATGACATTGTACGCAGTGCTTGCGGTAATGGAGATCTTGCTCTGGCAGAAATGATTGAAGGCAGTGATTCGGGAGGGGGCGCACATGTTGAACAGCTTTTGAGCAAATGTCTGGAAGCGGGCAATCAGCAGGAGTTGAGTACATGCTTAGACAATCCAGACAAGCCTCTTCCTATTGGACTTGTTGTACCTTGTCTTCGTTTATGTAAGATTTCAAGAAAGTCTAGTCATCTTCAACAAGCTGACTTCCCGAGTTTGCATTTCCTCTACTGCGCACTTCATTTGAGGTTAAGATTTGTCAACTTGTTGGTGAACTATATTTATGAAGTCGCTGCCAATCAAGGCAAAGTGGCAGCGGTTAACAGAATCTTGCAGTCGTTTCAAGTCAACATGGAACTGAAAAATGACAAAGATCAACAAAGACAGTTGAGCGGAAAGATGTGTAAACGGTTTATGAACGCTTTACCGCAAATCATAGATTTGCTGATTTCGAATGAGGTCACTCGTCAAGAGTGGAGAACTGCCCTTGATGAATGGGATCATGTCATCACGGTGCTCTCGTGTCAGTACTACGACAAAATTACTCGGGCAGATGCAGAAGAGTTGCCGTCTAGAATCCGGAGCTTTTGTGTAAAAATTGTCAAATTGATCGGAGATGTGAAGAGGCTGCAGTCGTTTTATTTTCATAGCCTCCTAATTGGGCACATCGGCGAACAATTCGAGTATCTATACAAGGAGTTTGGAGTCCCCCTGGGACTTTTGAGCCTTTCTGCAATCGAAAAGCGACACGAAACAATGGGAAGACGATGCTACAAGAAAGCTATAGCAGAGATCAATTTGTACATGAGTGGAAAGAGTACTTCCGATTTGCATCCCGATGGACAACCCGATTCTAAGGCCTCACGATCGTTTTACACTCTAATGAATCTGCTCTTACAATCATACAACGATGAGACTGCTGAAGCTCTATTTCAGCACACAGTTCAGAACGTTGATTTAGCAGCGTTAAGAAGAAGTTTGGATGAATAAATTTTTTACTTCTCTGTCTGAATACTTTTACCATCACAACAGTTCACAACGCAGAGTTAAGAAATTTGGAAGAATAAAACTTTGGCCTTGTCTGCCTTGTTGCTTAGTAGTGTTCCGAGGGAGGGAAATTCCACATTAGCGCCTTGGTGAAGGATAACCTTACAATTTTTGTGAACTTGAAGGTGATCGCTGTTGCACATGCCGAACGCGGATTTTGAATTGGCATGAAAATTTGGATAGGGCCTTCGAGGTAGATGGATCCTCGAGCAGGCCCCAGGCTAAAAGGACAATCTTTCAAGGGAACATTCAAGGCTTCTTTGAACAATGGAGTATGTAACAGATTTGCATCCAGAGTCCAGGCACATCGACGAGAATGGCGGTTTGAAATTCCTGAGCACAGCACCTTGCTTGTTTCTACAGGCATCTGTCTCAACAAATACAGTATCGCAGTAAAATCTTGAATTGGTACGGTGAAAGCAAGGCGATTTGCTTTTCTCGGATTCCATTTAGTGCATCCTCGCTTCACCAACCATATCTTCAATTCTTCTCGTATGACATTAAAAACATTGGAGATCTTGAAGAAGTTAAGCTCATCCTGAAAGTTCGCCAAATAACAATTGAGCATTGATTGTGTCAACCGAAATCCTTTGAAGTATTCTATGTGACAACGTTCTTTTTGCTGTACATTCTCGAAAAAGATCCATCCAACGACGCTTACAAGTGAGACAGGAGATGGAGGACCGGGGGCAACAAAAACACAAGGGAATGTAACATGGAAAATTCTCACGATATCTGATATTGGAAACTCATCTGTATATATGCTCTGGAAACACTCATGTGATTGAATTCCAGCTAGCAAACTTGTGTACCTCCTGTCATTCATGATAGACAACTTTTGGAAAACTTCCTCAATGATCGACCTATTATACAAAATGTAAACTTCTACTGACTGCTCTGTGACATGTTTTATGACTCCGTGCCGCTCCTTACGATCGACGTCCAAGAACACAACGCCAAGAAAGGGTTTCAACGTAAGATCAACATTCCACATGGGCACATGGTACTTTGGAGGGTTTGGCAACGGAGGAGAAGCTTGCATGTCAGTTTGGTAGGTAAAACAAAGAGGGACTTGGACATTGTTAGGAATGTTTCCGGGCTTTTCTTGCAGCTGGACCCGTTTGTCCCTCTGTTCGTAATGTCTCCTACTGTCATCTGCAAGTTGAGCTGCCTTCCTTCGAACTCTTGCCATTCCTTTTCAGGCTGGTTGGACAGGGAGGGCACCGCCAACATTTTAAGATTCAGAATTTTAAGAGTTATCAATTCTAAAGCTATAATTGCAATAGATTTGTACCAATTCCATGTTAAGCTTTGACAGTAAAATACATGTAAAAAAAGGTTTCAACCAAGTGTGAAAATCTTCAATAGAAAATTTCAAGAAACCTTCAAACAGAAATGACTACCCCCTGTTTCCCATGCCCCACCCCCCTTGAGAATTCCATTGAAACTACCGCGGTTTGACCCCAGAATGAACCGCGACATGCTTCGACTCATGAAGTCCGAGACAACGCTACCTGACTGAATGCTCGTCCTATCCATGTTTTCTTGAACAACTTCTTTCAACACAACAACTCCGAGAGGAAAACCAGGCCTTCGCGTACCAAAATGTTAGGAAAACTTCCTAAAAGTATCTCTCGATCCAGTGTTGACACACGAAGTGATCCCGTCAAGAAACCAAAGAACAAGCGCGCGACAGCAATGCACAATTCAACGGCAATTTACTCCAAATCAACGTTAGAGATAAAGAAAAGTAAGTAATCTAATTTCCTAAGAAACGAGACTGCCTAGGACACCTACTTAAGAAAGACAGGAAGTCAGTAAACATATCCTATCAGGGACATGTTCAGCTTGCGTGTAGGCAATTCCAAGATATGATCCAAAAAGCACACAACGAAGTCATGAAGAAGATCAAGGTAAGACTGCAGCAGAGCTGGAGGAAACAAAGGTTACAGGTCAATTCATGGTGGGACACTCCAATACGCATCGTGATGGAAGCGATGGGGACTTCAATGCACCGAGAAGGGCAATGGATACCAGACGGTTGCTGCTACTTTGCAAGCATCAAACGCATTGTCCTCATCGAATTTGCAAGGACATCGGAATATGACGGAGTCGAACAAACAAGTCTGGAATGCCTGAAGAAGAAATTTCAGGAAAAGGAAGAGAAATATGCCCCCCTACGAGCAGAAATCACAGCTTTGCTACCTGACCATGAAGTGGAACAAGCAACATTCATAGCAGGAGTGAAAGGATCGATCATGGAGAGGGAATGGCATCATTCCGTTCCAATCGGCCCCTTCTGGAATCTTTAGTACCAGGGCGTTTTGTTTGTACTGCCTTTAAAATACTTGTTCCAAAGCGTTGTGGTATTTGTACGGAGGTCCTCAGGGCTCCCCATACATGAGGTTGTACCACAAAAGTCCCTCATTTTCTGTGAGGTTCGCATGGGTGGTTTCAGATAGTTTAGAGAACCCGTACGTTTCCCTCCGTCAGAGTCAGGGTGGGGTGGATCGGATTCAAGGGAGGAAGGATGAAATCTTAAAAGTATGGGCTCTCCGTACTGGAATTGGCGTCCAAAAGTATCATGTTCGATTACCGGTAAGTGGTCAAACAGCACCCACCCCTGTGGTCCATAGCTCAATGACCCTCTCGCAAGGGAAATTTGAATCAAATTACTTTGACCAAAGCTAGTACCCCCTACCTTTGAAAAAGCCTGAGTAGATGGAAATCGGAAGGTAGGGGTGGGTCAATTCCCCAACCCCACACGCCTTCTGCTTGAGCCACGACAAGGAGCGATGGCCATGATACCATGAGGACGTGTTGCAATCGAATTTTCATGCGTGTATGCTTCGAATCATGTTGTATTGTTGCATAGATACAAGAAGGGTCTTGAAAAGAACCTACCTTGCATGAATGCAGCTCTGTTGTGGTGATGAACCAAGTGCAATGGATTCAAACTTCGATGTATGTCAACGCTTTTCGAAGTCAGGGAACATGTTGATCGTTAGCGAGATCTTGATTCATCTCAGCCAATATCTAAGTCAACTGCTGTCAAAGGAACTGGGGGATATGGCCCATCAACTTTAGACTTGAATGACAGCCATCAATGTTATTATCAGAAAGAGAGCAGTTGCATCAACAAGCTGTGTTAGGCAAGTTACTGATTCTAATGCATGACTACATGTCTAGAATGTTTGTCAATCCAAAAGTTCTTGGATTGTTGCCGTGTCATTGTGGATATCCTGGCCCATGCACTGATGCCCTTATTTGTCGAATCGCAAAGCTGCAAGTGAGCATTCGCCTCGTCTGTTTGTTAACAGGCATGCATGTACACAATGTAGCAACAAAAGATGAGTTTGAGGTCATTCAATTATCTACTGCCCGTCCCTTCCGCCCTATTTTGAAGCAATCCAAGACTGATACCCAAGAAGCAAGAAAACTTCTTGTATTTTGTGCGGTGTCACCCAGGTGGCAATGATCACATACTTGAACATCGGGGTTCAAATGCACAAGGAAGGATGGGCTTATTGATCGTGTAGATGCAGTCCAGTAATGAACATGTCTATTTTCAATAAAAGATTCGAACTAGCATGCGCAGTGGCAAGGTTTCTCCTCTGTTGATCGACTTTCAACAGAAACATGCAAGTCTTTTAGTACAAGCACGCATATGCCGCACATGTGTGTCCCAAGACATATGAATGTTTGGCATCATGTCAAAGCCTTGCCAACACTGAGGCCCTGGAAATTTGAACACATGTTCGAAAAGCCTGATTTTGTCAAAACTCATATTCATTTCATCAAGACTTCATACATGATCTCAACTCTACTCACGGAACATCTTCATCTGAAAATTTCGGCAATTGAAAGTTTACAAGGAATTCATCTGCACCGTAACAAATTTGACAGCCTCAGAGCAATGCATCAGCACTGCTCTCCTAATTGAAAACGCATCTGGCTTGAATTCTTTGCTGTTAATCACTGCGAAAAGTTTTCTCCCTTCTACATAGTGCATCAGACAGCCTGCTCTGAAGAAAAACTCTAAAGCTGAAATACTGTGCTAGGAATGTATTCGAGTCTTTGAAATCTTGCAGCAATCAAAGCTCACCGAGGATTTACATCTTGTTGATTTACAAGTTGTTGGTGGACATGAGAACAGGTTGACAAGTCACTGGCTCGACTCAAATACATTCACATCCAACACACTCCATAATTGTGCATGAGTAATGACGCTACAATAATAACGATTTTGCCCCATCATCGCAAGGAGCAATAAGTGGCAAAATTGAACAACCAACATCAAATCACTTCTGTATACACCGATTTCATAGACAAACCTACACCATGCATCAAATACTGATTTGGAATATGCTAACCTTGATCAAAACCATTCTCCGAAAAGCAACCATGGCATAGAAACATGTTGTTTGTAAGAGATGGAACCCTCATTCGTGCTTCTCTGAAGCATGACCATTGCAAAAATTTTCACAGGCACGGCGCGCGCCGGGGAATTACGGTGGGCTTGAGCGGGGAGATGGCCCAAAATTGTGCGAAAAGGATTCTTTTCGTTAGATAATAATATTTCAGAACCTTTTTCAATCGCAGTACAAAATTTCAGAACCGTGAAATCAAAATATTTGAGAATAAGAACCCCTTTCGATACGTGAAAAATTCCAGAAGGGAATTGGAACGGAATGAGAATTTCAGGAGGCTAAGGGTGGATGACACGGAATGGGAAGGCATCAAGACAGCAGCAATCAAGCAACTGCTGGCGGTACAACATACGCTATGGACGGCAAGAAGGGTAAGAGAGTCGATGTAGTCCGATGGGGGCAGGCGCGGCTCACATTACGTTCGCTTGTTGGTTTTGGGGTTCTTTTTCCTGTGGGGCTCTGATACAGGCGTGGTAGAGTTTGAAGAGGGAAATGCACAGGGGTGGGTCCTGTAATACTAATTTATTTGTTTTAATGGTACAAATTACAATACTTTTAAGAGTCCAGCATTTTATGATGGTAGACCCCCCGAGCCCCCCCCCCCTCCCTTCAGCCCTCTCGCGATGGTGCAGGGATATGCACAACGCTAATCAATGACGAAGACGGATAGACCATCAAGATTCGAAGTTAATGTCGATGAGATATCTTGATAGCACGGTCGTTGTGTTGCTTTTGTGAATACAATCATCATTATCGTAATCTAATCTTGCAAGTTCAGAATCAAGCACCATCCAAGTGTTGCTGTGATGATTTTTCATTCGCATAGTCGACAATGTTATGTTTTATCAATAAACAAATGCTTGAGATGTAAAGTATTGCACTAGATATCCAGTGCTGTTTGTCAAAGCAGCTCAACCTTCACTCGTGCCCTCACAAACAAGATGGGACAACGAGCATCCTGCTCTTGCCTCATCATAGTGTAATCAAGGATTTTGATTTTGCATAGTTCAAGATATTTGATGTTAGAAATTTTGTGCCTCAGATTTACAGTATACATTTGAATGGGAGCGGCAACATGTTTCACGGGCATTGGCAAGGTGTATGAACATCCAACTAGGGTCACGAAAGCATGAACTGAGCTGAGTGTACGTGTTCTATCAAGCACGATTCAAAGCTCATGGCCCTGCTTTGAAGCGCGGTTCGTTCGGAACCTTGCAACCTGCATGCTGTGGACTGATATGATGTTCAGAACTCTAGAGTGTTGTAGACAGTAGCAGCTTCGCATGCAGCGAGTAGCAATACTCTGTAACACGATTGTTCTCGGTCAAGGCATCAACAGACGGTACGCATTTCATTAAGCATGATTTGGAATTAGTTTACTTGCAAGAGAACTCCTGTGCACATGACTCTGCAACTGCGCTGGAAAGTTGCATGCAGATCTCAGCATGATGATGTGACGCAGAAAAGCTCACTCCATACAGGTTGTCAACTCTCACGATGTAAGGATATGAAGTCAAGCTATGTATGCAACATTGAGATACGTTGCTTCAGAAGTGATCCACTGTCATGAATTCTCATGAATTCATTCAAATCGTCTTTTCTCCACATGTTGAGCACCAACAGCAAGTATTCGATACACTTAGATCATCCCTACATAATTTTCTTTTGTCGTAAAACTTGTCTGCTGTCGATATCGTCACGAGCATGTAATATCTTACATGTGTTCATTGTTCTGCTAGGAAGGAAGGTGCCAAGGAAAAAAATGCCGTGTTGCTTGTTCATGTGGATGCACGATGCTTACCTGATACACAAACATGAGAAGATCAATCTTCACTTGATCTCAGCCTCACCGTGATTCGTGATGGGATCTGTTTTTGAGAAACAGATTGCCGCTAACAGTTTGCACGTCTTCAACAATGTTGTTCAAGCTGGAATTGGGGTTCTAAACAATCTAGACAATATAACGTCTGTCATCAACCTGTATGTGGAGTAGCAATGCCAACCTGAGTGCATCACCACATGTAATATGTGCAAGTGCAGCGTTGAAAAGGGCAGAGCTTTGGGCATCCTGATCCATGCACGATGACTGCTCGCCGGGAAGCAGGATCTGTCACTAAAGTATCAGAGTTGCAAAGTGAGCATGCATACCACTCAAACCCACCATCTTTGATTCTCATGTTTGACCTTTGTCACCATGTTGGTCTTGGCATCTTTCAGTAGCCTGATGGTCGCTGGATGGGCAACATTCATCATGCATCGAGAGGGAGGGATGGGTTGGGGATTCCTTACCACCCACCCCCTGATCCCAAGATTGAGTGCCGTATCGACCACCCTCCTGTTTTAGGGAATTATGACACATGAGCAAGGGTGGGTACCTTACGTTAAAGTTCAAATTTTGAATACACGCCTCTGACCAGGGGTTATGCCTGCTGTATCCAACAGAGAAAAGCATGGGTGGGTCGATAGGATTTTCGGTACTGTTCTTGTACCACGAAGGCGTGTAGAATTGATTTTATTGTCGTCATGCAGTACAGTTTGAATCTAAGAATAGCACGCCGCCGATACAAATTTCTGCATGCAAATACTTGGAATAAAAGGTTCACAACCTACCCTTGCCCCAGCCAAGTCGCCCACCCGACCTACTCTTTTCCCATGGGAGAGTGAGGGTGGGGTCTACTCCAGGCAAGGGCAGAAGACCCCCACTGCCCA